TACACATAATACATTCATAATGATTACAAAACAAAACAAAAAAAACAAAAAATAATTACAGGATCCAAAGCTCAGTGCAGCTGGTTCAGTAGCCCGGTTATGATGCCGCCAAGACTGCACGTCGGTGTAGATTAGGGTTGCAAGGAATATTCGAATATTCGATTGATGCTCGCTTGGAACCCGATGGAAGGACTATTTTTCCCCTGTAGAATATTCGTTCGTTTTGACACGTGCACACACTCTGCTCTTGAGTCGATCTATTGTAGTAATTCTAGAAGGGACGGAGTGATATATACATCTGTTATGTGTTGAGAAAGGGGACTATGACTCACAAGACTAGTGGACATGACTCCACTACACATCCACTTGGTCTAGAATGACTGGGGACTAGCCAAACTCTTTTTACGGTTCTTTTGGTATAGACTATTCGATTCGTTTACAAAGAAAATCGATTTCGTTCCTATTTAAAATAGTTGTTTCACCCTTAGAAACAATTCAGCATTTTGAGAGAATATTCGTAATTCGTTCGTTATGGGTGAGTATTCGTTCGTTTGTGAAATAGAATACCGGTATTCGTTGCAGCCCTAGTGTAGATTAGGCCTTGGCGGATAATGCTCGAAAAGGTGGCAGATTCTGCTTTTTTTGCACCGAAATTGGCAGAACCATACAAACCTTATGGCGGGCAATTCCTCGAATTCTGCTCCATTTCTTTATCCACATACCAAACATGCATGAAACTTACCAGAAAAAGTACCGAATTCTGCCAATTTTTCTGCCGGCATTATCCGCCAAGGCCTAGTGTAGATCATCCACCGGTTCTGCAGGCTGCAATGGGCGAGTGTCAGTTGCCCATGATTGAAGAGAAGCACACCCACAAAAATGCCAGGTGACTGTCCTTCAGGCTTCACTGCGGCTTGTGAGAAGAAAACATCGCCCATGGCATTAGTCCGGGGGCCAAGTTAGGAAAAAGCCAGGTCTAATAGATTTCGCTCCGAGTGAGAGGGCACCAAGTTTTTGCGATTTGAGTGTCAAGTATCTTCAAAATGCTGCAAGATGGTATGCCATTCAATCAAAATTTCCATCGGGAAGGTCATACAATGAAGTAGGCCTTGGCGGATAATGCTCGAAAAGGTGGCAGATTCTGCTTTTTTTGCACCGAAATTGGCAGAACCATACAAACCTTATGGCGGGCAATTCCTCGAATTCTGCTCCATTTCTTTATCCACATACCAAACATGCATGAAACTTACCAGAAAAAGTACCGAATTCTGCCAATTTTCTGCCGGCATTATCCGCCAAGCCCTACAATGAAGGTGGAAAGAATTGATGATGGTTGCCATGGCAAAAAATCAGTTAATTCAAATGTACAGGAGAACTATGCAATATTTTGACAACATTCCTGCTGGATATAAACATATCCAATACGTATGACTGGTTGGCCAAGTTTGACTGAAAACAAATAAACTTCAGGGCCTCAAAGGTGAATAATCGGATCTACTGCAACTATACATTACTGTACATACACTGTACGTAATTAAATATGCGTGCATACACCGACAACTGTACAAATATATTGGTGACCAGTGTACATGTGACATTTATAAAGCCTTTTAGAAAAGAGTTAGAAATGAATAGAGCAATCTGTGACCAATGGTGATCTAATGGATATACATGTACATGTATGTATGGCGAAGAGGAAAATGTAGAGGGAAACAGAGCACGCCAAAGCAGTTCTCTCTAAGTACCTATCAGTTGGTAGCAACAAAGAGGATCTTGTGGCATTCTTTGGTGGTAAAGTGGCAGCTCCCGGACAACCTGAACAAGGTGCCCCCAGGCAAGGAACTGGTTGTCACTGCGGGCCAAGAGTGCATAGTGATGATATTGTCAAGTCGGCTGGTGCAAGCATGGCGTCTACTGCTGTGGAGGAGTTGCTGTTAACCCAGGAAGCGGCTGACACCAGACTGCTCCTTCATGCAAGGCATGCAGCTGTCAGTGGGTATGAGACCGTTCTGATAAGAACACGATATACCGATGTTGCCATTATTGCTTGTTCTGTTAGCCATGTTATCCCTTTTACGTTGCTGGTGGAGGTTGGTGCAGGTTGGTGCCCCCCCCCTTTTTTTTTACTAAGGCCACAGCTTCCAATCATGACATGCAAACCAGCGGTGCAGCATCGCAGGCATGAATTGCGGACGTGGTGACGGGGTCTGATGTGCTCCACCGACCTAGGGTCTCGGCTTCACTGCACAGCAAACGCGTCGAAAGAAAACGGAGGCTAATAATTATCGGGAGATGGGGGGGGGGGGGGAGAAGAAGAGAAGAAGGAGAGAGAGAGAGAGAGAGAGAGAGAGAGAGAGAGAGAGAGAGAGAGAGAGAGAGAGAGAGAGAGAGAGAGAGAGAGAGAGAGAGAGAGAGAGAGAGAGAGAGAGAGAGAGAGAGAGAGAGAGAGAGAGCGAGAGAGCGAGAGAGAGAGCGAGAGAGCGAGAGAGAGAGCGAGAGAGCGAGAGAGCGAGAGAGCGAGAGAGCGAGAGAGCGAGAGAGCGAGAGAGCGAGAGAGCGAGAGAGCGAGAGAGCGAGAGAGCGAGAGAGAGAGAGAGAGAGAGAGAGAGAGAGAGAGAGAGAGAGAGAGAGAGAGAGAGAGAGAGAGAGAGAGAGAGAGAGAGAGAGAGAGAGAGAGAGAGAGAGAGAGAGAGAGAGAGAGAGAGAGAGAGAGAGAGAGAGAGAGAGAGAGAGAGAGAGAAAGAGAGCTGTGAGATAGAAGAGCACAGTGCTCTTGGTGATGGGGACTGCGAAGGATAGCAGGTTCTGGGACATGTGCATGGGAATCAGAATATTGGTGATGATGGCAGCAGGGTTATAAGGTAAGCAGCTGAACACTAATAAAAACAGGGAAAGCGTTGGTGAACCGATTCAAAGTGCATCTGTAGCAGAGAGCCAGTCCTGAGCAAGAAGGTGACGGTACGCCTTTTTCTTAAAGCTTTGCATGTGGGGCTGGGCGGGTGGGTGGTGGAACGGGTGGTGGAACAGGTCTGGTGGCAGGGCATTCCATGTTGCAACGGTGCAAGCAGGGAATCCTTGGAGACAGCTATTCCGGGTGTTGGCAGGCAGGCCAGTTGTCATCTGGTATGGATGGGAATCATGCAGCTGGAGAGACTGACGGGTAGGTCTTGTCTCCGGGGCACGGTGAGTGGCTGGTTTGGGCAGCATCTGCTTCAGAGGGCTGGATGCATCTAGATAGCAGAGCTTGTAGGTATAGGCAAGTGCAGCTACCAGGCGACGGAGTGCCAGGCTAGGGAGCCAAGCACCTGCTCCGATGATGTAGAGGGCCCTTCGCTGGATCTGGTCCAGCTTCTTAAGATGGGACGAGGGTGAGCCCATCCACACTAAGGGGCAATACTTGAGTGTGGGTCGCACAAAGCCGTTGTAGACGCGTTGGCGGCTCTCGGCGACCAGAATGGGAGACGCTCGCTTCAGGAAGCCAATCCGCTGGTTAGCACGGGAAGCTAGGGAGCGGAGGTGGAAGGAGTAGCTCAGGGTGTCGTCAAAGGTGACTCCCAGGAGTTTCAGCCGACTCTCTTCACTGACCGGTGTGCCGTCAAATGTTGCTCGAGGGAGCTCCCAGGGCTGGCGATGGTGGCCTATAGACATAGCCTGCGTCTTGGGGGGCTCAAATTCTATCCTCCACTTATGTCCCCAACGGGAAAACGCATCAATGCCCTGCTGGAGGAGCTCGGAGCCACAATCAATGTCAGCTCTTGATGTGAGGCAGTGGAAGAGAGTTCCTGGGTTAACAACAACTCCTCCACAGCAGTAAACGCCATGCTTGCACCAGCCGACTTGACAATTGTGACTCTTGGCCCGCAGTGACAACCAGTTCCTTGCCTGGGGGCACCTTGTCAGGTTGTCCGGGAGCTGCCACTTCACCACCAAAGAGCCACAAGCTCTTCTTTGTTGCTACCAACTGATAGGTACTTAGAGAACTGCTTTGGCGTGCTCTATTTCCCTCTACATTTTCCTCTTCGCCATACATACATACATGAACATGTACACACTAGTCAGAACAACAGATGGCTTGATCAGTCACAACAACATCTCAGGCATGTACATGTACATGTACATGTATATCCATTAGATCACCATTGGTCACAGACTACTCTATTCATTTCTACCTCTTTTCTAAAAGGCTTTATAGATGTCACATGTACACTGGTCACCAATATATTTGTACAGTTGTCGGTGTATGCATGCATATTTAATTACGTATGTACAGTAATGTATAGTTGCAGTAGATCCGATTTTATTATTCACCTCTGAGGCCCTGAAGTTTATTTGTTTTCAGTCAAACTTGGCCAACCAGTCATATGTATTGGATATGTTTATATCCAGCAGGAATTTTGTCAAAATATCGCATAGTTCTCCTGAATATTTGAATTAACTGATGTGTTGCCATGGCAACCATCATCAATTCTTTCCACCTTCATTGTATGACCTTCCCGATGGATATTTTGATTGAATGGCATACCATCTTGCAGCATTTTGAAGATACTTGACACTCAAATCGACAAAACTTGGTGCCCTCTTACCCGGAACGAAACTTCAAAAATAATCCCCCTGGCCCCCAGACTACATGGGCCATAGCGCCAACTTAGCGGTAGATCCACTACAGACACGCCACTACAGACACGTGACACCTGACACCTGCACGACCGGACCCTCGGCCAGATGCACGGTAGAGGTCTACGGCCGTACGACTACGGGCGTCTGTAACTAAATCATGCATGGCGAACATGGTCGAGCCCCAGGGAGTCGTAAAAATACTAAAAATTAAAATACTGTGTTTTACGACTCCCTGGCCTGATCAAGTATGGCAACTAACTGTTTGCGTTCATATTGATATTCATAAGTCGCATAGATCACTAGTACAGTACTAGTACTAGTACTACTAGTACTAGTAGATCCACACAATCATACACGTGTGGATCGTCAACCATGGTCAACTCACTGCGTTTATGACATTGTAGTTTGTAGCAATGATTTATGACTGTGAGATAGAAGCTCTGTCTCGCGATCGACTCCTTTGACCAAGCTGCTCAAGCAATAATCTTCCCCTGAAATAGTAGTTGTTCGAGGAAATGGTCTACCGTGGCTACATAATTGTATGTAGCCCTAAGCCGAGCGGTTCAGTCTCTGTACTGGAGCACGTGGTGGGACAATGAATTGATTGGATTACTCGAAGAAGATTGCGGCCGATGGTCCTGAAGAAGAAGCTAATTTCGGACCGCTCTTGTCAGTAGATTGACGGTAACAATGGACTGGCCATTTCTAGTCCTGTGCACGGTTCTGGCGCTCGTGTTCTATTTCTGGAATTCGTTGAGCAATGCCTTTGTGCTCTGGACTGTGGCGTTCGGCGGCGCTGATGGCCGCCGCGATGTGGCCTGCTCGTCTCGAATGCACGCCTACATAGCTCGCAGTGAGCTGTTGGACGAGGTCAGTTTCGCCGAGCTGTTCCAGCTGTGTCGGGAGATCGTCGACTCGGAGCCGAACGTCGGGATCGAGGCGCTGCAGGACGTGGTCCTGTCGTACAAGTTCGTGTCCATGTACCGCGATCGCGTTGACGGCTCGCTGCGCGGTATGCTGCTGCTGGACGAAAGAGATCGCACGCATCACGGCCGCGACATCATCGTCTTTCGCCTGGGACTGGCGCTGTTCAAGCAGCAGTACCAGGGTGGCGCGCTTCCGTATATTTTCTTCCTGTACCGCGCCCTGCGCTGCTTCCTGCTGCAGCCCAACCGGCAAGTGTACGTGCTCGTGAAGCTGTTCAGCTACAAAAGCTACATGATCGCGATGAACAGCAGTGAGCATGCGTACCCGCGCTACGACACGAAGACGCCAGAGTTTGAGCAGTCGCTGATCGATGAGTACGGCTACTCTCTGGAGACGAGCATGGCGAAGTACGACCCAGAGACGTGCGTGGTGACGAGATCACACGTGCGACTGGAGCGGCACGCGGCACCGATACGGGACAGCGACCTTCAGAACCCGCACATCCAGCACTTCGTCAAGCTGAACCCGGGCTGGCAGAAGGGACACTGCCTGGTGGCGTGCGCCAAGATCACACCGGGCGTTTTCCTCTCCATCGCCAAGAACAGCTTGATGCGTGCCATCTTCCATCGCAGCCGACATGCCGGGGGGAAGCCCCGGCCGCGCCTCTCTCGGCAAACATCGCTGGCCGACGCATTGAATCGGCGGCGCCTGTACACGTCCAACATCGGCGATCCCAGCTCGTTCATAGTGACGAGCTCCAACGAATCTGCAAGTCCGGGAGAAGATGGTATGGCGGTAGATGACCTTGACACAATCGACATGGAGGATGCATTTAGTTGACGAATAATGGTGGGTTGGCACAACCACACTCAAATGCTTTCTTACTCTACACGCATACAAGAACTGTGATGTTTTATGGAGTTGGAACTAGGTATTTGAGGCAACATCACACCCATAGCCACTGCGTTAAAACTCTGACCTTGATACCAGTACAATGCATGCATTCAGAGGCGCGTCCTTGATTGATGAAGCAGAAACAGATCGAGACTTGCACCAGGCAGCAGTCCAGTCCACATAACTGGCAAAACCATAGCATAGTCATGCCTGCAGCAGTATTATTAATCACTGGCGCATAGATCTCTGGAGTTCTAACACTCCTAGATGCACGCTAGTACAGGCACCTGGTCACATGATTCCAGAGCTGTTGATATTAGTCACAGTCGTATGATTGTGACAGATCTCAAGTATTGTTCATGATGGGAACATTGATTTCAAATATTTGTGCATTTAGACCCGTTCTCTCATGTCTACCAGTGAGAGTGTGACGATTATGATCAACTGTGATGTGAATGACGTCACCAAGTTTGCCAGCGCTGACCAAGGGCCGTGCCGGTGTGGAAGTGCTGAACGCTAATGCCATACCAAGCAAAACACTGTGCCTTGTCCTGTTGGTAGGCGCCTGTCAGGTTTGGATTACTGGATGAACAGGCAGCGAGAAAGATTTCACCGATTCTGGTTTGGTCAATCCTCACCGTCAGTGTACTTGAAGTGCTGCTACCAGTGCCAGTGACCATGCGGGAAACATGTGTGGTACTATTACTACTAATGGATAACCAGATGGATGGGCCCAACTAGCTGTACGGTGTGGTTGTTCGGATCTAATAAGAAACCCTTGACCACTCTTGATCAATTTCAGGCAAGGTTTGCTAGTATGGTGGTAAAGACACACCTGGCAATATGGCGGTAAACACACGCCTGCCCACACACGCTCTCTAGGCTGCAAAGTTCTGGCACAGAGCTCTCCTTCTCACCACCATCAGTTCGCGCCTGGCGCCTGGTCGATGCATGGCTGGCGGTTTGCTAGAGCTCTACTAAAAAGAAAAAACTGCATTTGATTACACTTCTTCTAAATCTGTCTTAATGCTCCCTAGAATCACTAGCCTATCGTCGTCAAATCATCAGTCTCACCACTTTTCACAGATATGTTTTCCATCATCGTGATTACCTTGCTGATTTCCATTTCAACATTACGAATAGTGAGCGACGACCAAATAAAATCATTCTTCCCAAATTTAAATCATTGTCTAAGTCTCTCTTCATGTTCCGCACTGCTATTCTATGGAACTGTTTACCCTCCCCCCCCCCCCCCCCCCCCCCCCCGTCTAACTTCGGAGTCCTCTCTCTATAAGTTCCCACACCCACCTTCCTCACTGGACCCACATGCACACCCGTTCTTTCCTACCAGACACTCCCTTCCCACTCACCAGCATTCTGGACCACCCCAGTTCACACTCCTATCAACAAACTGTCGTTCTGTAGTAGTGTACAGAGCTTACTGTAGTCACTGAAGAGTGGCAGCCTGACATAATCTGCCTAACTGAAACCTGGCTCGACCCGAATATTGCACTTAATATTATGCATTATGACACCTTCCGGAGGGAGAGGCCCCTGCAGAGAATAAGTCCGGGACAAGTGCAAGAGGTTATGGTGATGTCGCTATCCTTGTTCGACAGAATAAGTTTAAGTCTGTTGCCGCGCGTCCCGACCTAGCTCGCGATGTGTGCGAAACCTTTTGGGTTCAACTCCAGCCGTATCCGGCTGCAGCTGAGCCGATCCTCCTCTGCTGCAGTTATCGTCCGCCTTCTGCTAAGACAACAGATATAGCAAGGTACTGCCAGACTCTCGAAGACGTACTCATTACTCTTCCTCTTTCATCTTCTCACGTTATCTTGACGGGTGATTTTAACAGCAAGCACACTTCATGATGTTCGACAGATTCCACCAACACTGCCGGTGCCGAATTGTACCGCACGCTCAGTTCATTTGGTCTTCACCTTAACACATGTACATACTGAAGTACACGTCACCCTCTGGTGTCCAAGCCTGCCTGGCTTTGGTGTTCAGTAACCGTGCCAATCTCTCGTCTTGCGTCGAAACTGACTGCCCTCTGGGCGCCTCGGACCATGCCATTGTGTACTGCCAGTTCGACATCCCACTGCCTCAGTCTTCCCGCGAAACAACGTCTCAAGCTCAGGAGCCTAACCCTATGTCTTTCAATCTCCGATACGTTACACCTGCTGTGTGGGAGGCGGTCAATGCAGACTTTGACTCAGTACCTTGGAACTCATTTATATCCTCAGACGTGGACAGTGCACTTAGTAACCTGCACAGTGCCCTGCAGACTGTGCTGTCCAAGTATGTTCCCCTTCATAGCTCCCGCAAACCAAATCGTTCTCCCTCAACCCCAGGGGCCACACGCAAATATCATCCATGGGTTTCCACTGAACTACGCAAGGCTGTCAAGTTAAAGCGTGACCTATTCAGCCTCTCCAAGAAATTCCCTACGGACTACAACCTATCAGCATATAAGGCACAGCGGAACAAGGTGAGACATCTCTCCCGCTCGTGCCACCGCCAGTACATTCGTTCAATCACAACAACACTTACCTCAGGCAGCACTACGCTTCACCTATTTGTCCGCAGCCAGCGGTCGCACAAAGTAAAACCTGGCATCCCTGATATTGCAAGCCCTGATGGGCTGCTGGTGTCTGACAGCTCCCAAAAAGCAACCATCCTCGACAAGCAGTTTACCTCTGTCGCGATGCCTAATGAACCCACCTTTGAGGTCAGACGGATCACTATCGCCATATTTTCATTATATGCCTGTCTGTTGGCCTGCCTGCCCGTCTCTCTCCCTGTTTCTCTGACAACCTGCTTGTTAATTCATGCGGTTGTTTTCAGACGTAAAGCCCTGTTGTAGCGGTCTCAGCCCTCATTTGTTAGTCTCTCTGTCTCTCTGTCTCTCTCTCGGATCTCTATCTCTCTCTCGCTCTCTCTCTCTCTCTCTCTCTCTCTCTCTCTCTCTCTCTCTCTCTCTCTCTCTCTCTCTCTCTCTCTCTCTCTCTCTCTCTCTCTCTCTCTCTCTCTCTCTCTCTCTCTCTCTCCTCTCTCTCGGATCTCTCTCTCTCTCTCTCTCTCTCTCTTTCTCTCTCTCTCTCTCTCTCTCTCTCTCTCTCTCTCTCTCTCTCTCTCTCTCTCTCTCTCTGTTTTTGGTGGACAAAAACATCTCTGGGGTTGATTGCTTTCTTGCTTCGACTTCTGCCGTGCCTTGTTCTCGTACTCCCCTTTATGTACAAGTGTTGTGCAAACCCTCCTTTAATAATTATAGTCTGTCTCATTTTGCCCTGAGATGTTTTGATGCATAGTGATTATGACGCTCATCATTCGCTCCCTTGTCACTGAACAGTTCTGTCCGTTTGGTTTTAGCGAATTCAAATAAAGAAAACAACAACAACAACGTTTAGTAATACCCCCTCTCCAATATGACACTCGTCTTACTCGCCAATTCACCCGCGTTCATACCACTACAGCAGATGTTCGTAAAGCAATCTCAAACCTGAAATCTGGGAAAGCGCCAGGGCTAGACCCCCGGTATCACGAACAATAATTATGATAAAAAAGCTAGCCCCTGCGATTTCTTTTCCACTTAGCCGCCTATTTAACCTCTCCTTTACCACAGGCAAGTTCCCTACCGACTGGAAACTGGCTACAAGTGTGCCTATTTACAAGTGCAAAGGCAGCAAGTCGGGGCGGAAAGTTGCCATGTGCTTTTTTGACCTCGAGAAAGCTTTCGACACCGTGTGGCACCGTGCAATACTTGCTAAACTCTCCAAAGTGTTCGGTGTGTGTGGCGCAGCGCTGGAGTGGATTACAGACTACCTATCCGACAGAACGCAAGTTGTCTTTGTAGGTGGACTTCTCTCAGATGCTTCACCTGTTCTGTCCGGAGTGCCCCAGGGATCCATCCTAGGGCCTTTCCTTTTCCTAGTGTATAGGATATTGTTGATCTTCCCAGTCATGTTGAAGATGTGTCCTTGTTTGCTGACGATACTGCACTGCTCCGGCTCAATGAGAGTCTAGACAGGCTGCGAGACAGTCTCCAGCGCGGTATCAACGAAGTCCATCAGTGGATGACTACCTGGAGACTAAGAGTAAGACCTAATATCGCTAAGCCTGACTGAGATACTGTTCCTGCCGAACTCAGAGTCAACCGCTGCATTCACTCTTCCCGGATCCCTCACAGACCTCACAGTGGTAAAGCAACACAAGCACCTTGGTTTGGTCATTGACTCAGACTTATCGTTTAGTAGACATGTCGACTATATCTGTAGCAAAGTCAAAGTTGCCTGATGATCGTAGTAATACGTGAAACTCAGAGTTGTAACAAAGCTTCCAATCTCTCTCTTGTGTAGCAAAGTCAGTAAAGCTGTTGGCTACCTCGTGTCTCATTGCTCCCACCTACCGCTTGAGTGCATTCACCTTTTTTTATCATTGCTATAAAAGCTTCCAATCTCTCTCTTATGTAGCAAAGTCAGTAAAGCTGTTGGCTACCTCGTGTCTCATTGCTCCCACCTACCGCTTGAGTGCATTCGCCTTTTTTATCATTGCTATATTCTCCCCATTTTTCTCTATTGCTCAACCGCCTGGTCATCCCTACTAAGTAAATCGTTAATGAGTACCCTGTAAGTCCACAATAAGAGGATACTGAAAGTCCTTTTCCGCGAAACCATCATACATGTACTTTCCTTCTGCCGAGCTGTATGATAATGTTTAACACCTTCCCCATCTCTAGTCAAGCAGATCGAAAACTGTGTATTGTTGTTCATTCTATTCGTCTTGACAAAGCCCCGCCACACCAAGAGCCAGCGCCTGATTTTGTGCAATGCTCGAAAGCGCCCTGACTTTCCACCAACCACCTTTGCCGGCGAGATTATTCCGGACTCGGACCACCTAAAGCTGCTTGGCGTCACATTCGACTCTAAGCTTGGGTTCCAGCGCCATATTCATGCTGTCGCTGTCAAGGCCAGCCACCACCAAGAGCCAGCGCCTGATTTTGTGCAATGCTCGAAAGCGCCCTGACTTTCCACCAACCACCTTTGCCGGCGAGATTATTCAGGACTCGGACCACCTAAAGCTGCTTGGCGTCACATTCGACTCTAAGCTTGGGTTCCAGCGCCATATTCATGCTGTCGCTGTCAAGGCCAGCCAGCGCCTGGGATTCTTGCGCCGTGCTGCTTGGCTTCTGGGTCATGAGGGCCGCCTTGCCGTGAGCCCAATTCCCACCTAGCACGCTATGACAGGGTGCAGGAGAAGGCAATGCGAATCATTGGACCTGACACGATCCTTCAGAGCCTGCAGCTCCACCGTCGCCGCCTGCACCTACTCCTAGAACCCGCCGACAACTAGCTTCTCGCCACCCTTTCCAGTTGCAATGGCCACTTGCTCGGACAGCACCGAACTACCTACTGAGGTCATTCCCCTACACCCTCATTGCGGCATGGAACGACATTCCTGAGCAAGTCATCCCGGAACCTCAAGGGAATGCAGGCCTTCATTCAAGTCTCGCATTTGTCAGCACCTGATGCGCCAGGATTGGTTGCGGGCGACAGCATTCCATGGCTACATTTGACGATGTTCCATTCTCCGGTCCCACAACGATCACCTTGTCTTCACCCCACTGAACTGTACCTTGCTCCCTAGAGCTCTCGAATCACCTCAGTGCAGAATGTTTTGTTAATGTTTATTTCTTCTCTTCCTTCCTTTTTTGCTGTTTTTCGTGGCCCCTTTCTCGCTGATCCAGTGCCTGCACACTACTCTGCCTGGCAGTAGCTCCGATCTAACTTCTCCGTATTGCCCCCCCCCCCCCACACTGGAAGCAACGCAGCTGTTGGTCCATTGCCATAGTTTCCTGAACTAATCTGGCACTCACTCACCCCCCCCCCCCCCATCTCTCTCTCTCTATTTCTCTCTCTCTCTCTCTCTCTCTCTCTCTCTCTCTCTCTCTCTCTCTCTCTCTCTCTCTCTCTCTCTCTCTCTCTCTCTCTCTCTCTCTCTCTCTCTCTCTCTCTCTCTCTCTCTCTCTCTCTCTCTCTCTCTCTCGCTCGCTCTCTCTCTCTCCATCATTGTCTGGCTCTCAGGTTCTCACTCTTCACACATTTAATAATAATAATAATAATAATAACACAGTCTTTCTTCTCTCCCTTTCCCCCATGGTGCGTGATGTGCGCCTTGATCCCG